CACACATTGTCATCGACTCCTGCAACTACATGTAGGCGTAAAGGCAGGTCGGGCATATTTTTTCAAAGCCAAATTTTAAAACAAAAATAGAAGAGTTATTCGCATGATAGTAAAGGATCATATATCTGTTAAATTTTGTGATGGCTTTCCAGATTTTAAAATGCAATGTGAAGATAACGAACAGTAAGCATGCTCAAAGTTCAATCAAACAATACAAATTGTAAGCAGGACACGGACCTCTTATAACAGAGGTGGAACCAGGTGTCATGAAGGAGTGAGCATCTCCGTCGACCGGTCACACCCACCGTGTGTTCTTTGTCAAGATCAGGTAGACACTGTTTCATATGTAACACTCTTGTGGATAAAACATTAGCTTATATTGTTTGAATATACCTTTTGGAAAATTTTTGCTCTGAAACCTTTTCATTCTATATTTTCCATTTTTTTTATGAAAAGTTTGCAAATCAAATTCCTGATTAAGATCCGCCCATTATTCAATAATTGTAAACTTGGCATATGCATTCAATAAAGGGAATGATTGATGGAATATATCTGGTTACTAGTTTTTAAAGAGACAACCTCTATTATTGTTCTACCTTTCAGCTGATTATGCCTTATAATCCAATGCGATTTTCACGCACAAAGAGGATGATTACGTACAGGACATTGTTTTGGGCTTTGGTCATAGCATTGGTTAGATATTCCACTTCATTATCAAGGCGCTACACTGCTAAACTAGATTTAGACAATAATATATTTCAGGGAAACCTCTTGACTGAATACGACGCTCATTCACTAATTATGTGTTCTACAATGTGTGGTCAGGAGTGTACATACTTTGGTGTCAATTTACAAAGAAAGAAATGTCGCCTCCACACGGGATGTCATTCAACTAATTTAACAATACAGGAAGTTGGATGGAGATACTATGGCCAGGAAACTGAAGGTATAATCGTATATACACCGTCTATAAGTCGGTTAACTTATAAGTCGTTTAAATTTTTTTTTAGATTACTTCAGAGTAATATACCATTGACCGGCTTATAAGCTCGTACTTTTTTTGCCAGAATCTGTTGTCAATTTAAAATTTTCATCCTTTTGATTTACCTTTTCAAAGTATGTTTTGGGGTATTACATCGATATTTGTTATTAACAATTTAAACAAATGTATTAGCATGAAATTCTGTTTTATGCTTATAGTAACCTTGGATCTTCCTTTCCTTTATTAGATTAGGTTACGTCCTTTATAAACAATTATCGTTAGAGTTGTTTCAGAACTACTATTTTTCCTCTTCCAGAAAATATACAAAAATTTCTAGGGCACAAGATTTGAAACAAAATTTAATTCACCCAAACCCGACTTACAGGCAAGTATACATGGAACCTATTTCAAATGCAGCTTACCTCTGATATGAGTGAAACATTCTGGTAAGAGACGTTGAACAACAAATAATCATTTAATCAATTACAGTTCAATTATCAGCTCTATGTATATATGAATAATATAAGAAAGAAAAGAACATTAAAAGACAGCGGCAAGGTGGAGAAAGAAACTAATTGGGACTGATGTAGTTCCATGATATCGTTCGATGAAGGCGTAAAAAACGATCATTTGTAAAGAGCCATAGCTGCCTTACCGACGACACGGCCGACTCAAGAATTTAAAAGGAAATCACCTGTTTCTATTTATAGATATACTGTACCTTTTCAATTCATGACCAAACTATGTAATATGGTTTGAGGACGAGTATTATATTTTCATAGTTGCAAGTATGTCAAATGACATTCATTTTACTTGTTCAATACTCTAATTCTGAGACAAAAGATTTACGAAGAAAACCAACAAAAATAAAACAAGTTGCTATGAATTTGCAAACTTTAATAAAAGTTAAGGACTGTCTTTTCCCGAGATACTTTCAAAGTGTAATGTGTATATTATATCTTTCTGAAATTGTGTATTTTATAAAACATAAAGAAAAACGTAGAAAAGATACACAAAGAAAAAAAATTTAAAAAAAAAACTGGAAAATTTGGGGCTCGAACTCGCGATCACCATATTTACATTTCTTCAATCATACCGCTGCGCCAACGAAGTCCATGATGACAAGTTGATAAATTTAAGACAGATTACTAAATCTTACGATTATATGAGAAGTAAAATTTAATATATATTTTCATCATTTTCACCATGAAGACCACCTTTAACCAAAATTATCTAAAGGGAATGAAGTGCAGACATATCCAAATAAAATTATTCAAAAGTTGTTTTTCTGGTTAAGGGTGGTCTTCGACAACAGTTTGTCATCGTTAGGTGGATACCTCAATATTTACTATATATTCTATACAAACTGGATATTTTTCAAATTTATCATATGAGGGAACTATTAACATTTAAATATCATTATTGTGTGATTTGGTTTTACGCATGTATAAACTAAGACTGTATGACAAAATTTTGGTTAAAAAATGTATTTAAGAAATCACTAGTAGAGTAGGCGAAAATGCCTATCAAATGCGCTATGGCTCTTAATTGACAATAAACAATAGATAATTCTCATGAACTGTAACTACAGTGTAAAGAGGATATTCAAAAAGAATCCTTTACGATAATGCATGCGGTAGGAAAAAAGAGTAACAAGTTAAATACTGTTAAATAAACGAGAAAAGCCTAAGGCACGCATTTTGATTGGGGAACCCAGAGAAAGAGAGAGGATTATCAGTTGTTGATCAGTTAGGATCTTACCTTAAATTGGCAGGAAGTTTGGTTATATCTGTTACAATAATATTCTAAAACATAAATTTATGTTCAAATGATAATTATTAGCAATGTATGTAAATATTAAAACACTTAGGAATCGAAATTAGTTAACATAGGTCTGATAAAGCGAAAACCTCGCTTAGTATGTTTTATGGCACCTTATAAAACATCCTAATGTAGTACATAGACAGGTTTTTAAAAGACTACACTCTTACTTAAGATCCAACTTTGAAAAAAATCTAGGCAAGCTTTTTGTTACGAATTAAAAGTTACAAGTTCATAATTGTTAACATAAAGTTTAATTAAAACAAAGGGACAAAACTTCTGGAAAAAATTTACAAAAATGATTCTAAAACTTTCTGCTTATTGTTAACAAGAAGGATAATGAAAAATCACTACAGTAGATCCAATGTTAAGTATATTATTTTAGTTTTAAAGAAGTCAAAGTAAACACTAGTTGCAGGTGCAAGGCTTCTAGGCCGAGAACTTGTCAACATGCATAGAATCACTCCTAAGTGGAATATTGAATATAATATAAGGCAATAGATAAGTATAAAATAAATATTTTACTGATTGAAATGATGGGCAGGGAAGTCGTACGTGTAAATGCATTTTTATGGTTTTATGGGTGATATTAAGAATGTATAAATTTAAGAGAAAACAGCGTTGCCCTTTTCTGGAATAATTTACCGTAAAAATTAAAATCATGAAGAGAATAGCAAATTCTAATTTTTAAAATCTTTCTTCATTATTTTTATGCCATATTTGTGGCAGGCTAGAAGAATATCACTAAAAAGGATCTTGGTTAAAAATTCATAGATGTAACTTTATTTCCAATTTTGCTGCAAAAATACAAAGATCATCAGTAAGAATACATACATTTGATTAAATTACACAGTTATGGAAATCATGATCGATTTATTGCATAGATCCTGATAATGAAAAAAATCACTATTTTTTATCTGCTTTGATGGCTTCATTAAATATTTGTCAGAGAGCTTCAGATGAAGTTGAAATGATATTGAGTTATCAAAAAAGTATATCAATGAATTGGATCCAATATTCAGATATTTATTTCTCTCAAGAAAGATGTGAGTGCATGCACAAAAAACTTTTGCCTGGACACTGACCTAGTAAAAAAGACTGTTAGACTTCACATGTACAACGTCCTTGGCATTTAAAAATTATTTTAAATATCTTCTTACATTTACTTATTATAACTCACTACATGTAAAAGTGTACGATACATCTCAATACAGAAATTATATATGCATGTAGTACCAAATATAGAGTAAAATAGAGTGTTAAAGGTCAGAAAACATATTCGCAATATGTGTATTATTATATTATATATTTAAAGAAAAAGATTGGAATTTGAATCCGTTTTTTCTTACTTACCGAAGGTCATTTAAATATTACCTCATTCTCTTTAAGGATTCAGATTTTTTGCCTAAGGAGTGTGGCATACATGAGCAAAGATTTTCTGTCAACTCGTTTTAATGCAAAATGATGTTTTATACTTCATGCATCGTATGTAATAATTAAAACTAAGGGGATAATAGTCAATTTGTTGTGCTGTCATGGACCCCCCCCCCTTCCCCCTTCCAAAAAATGTAAAAATTTTAATTTTTTACATGAGGATTTTCATTTAATTGTTTTCTAAAAAATATCTTTTAAATTAACAGTATTAATAATAAACATTTTTGGAGGAAGAAAATTGGAGAATGTATCTATAAGCATTGAATCCTTCTTTGTAGATGTCGTCGGTCTTATAACAGCACATGTTCGTGTCGACATATGATCAAAGCGCATTTCTCAATTTGTCGGAACGGATATGTGCTGCAAGTACTTGCTTAAGGACTTAGGAATTTTTATATTATACCCTGGTGTCCAAATGTAAAGATATTTCCAATAATCTGATTCATATTTTTGTAATCTTGTATATATATAATCATATTAGTAAAAAAAATTAAAAAAAAAAAACTTTTTAAAAAAATATTTTAGAAAATGCTTTGATATCTTAAATTGATAAGTTATCTTAATAAATTTTACACTTTCATCTTTTCAAAACTGAATTTTGTTGTGCTTTGAATTGTGCTTGGTATCTACAAATAATTGATCAATAAATTTTCATTGATAAATTGCAGAAAATCGTCGTCCAATGAACTGTAAAAATTTGTTTGCTGACTGTCATACAATATCTGGTGTTTATACGATTTATCCCTGGAATACTCGTTCAGTTGATGTACACTGTGATATGGACACACAAGATGGAGGTTGGACGGTTAGTTTTATAACTGATATATTACTGCATGAAATTATAACAGATGGAATTCTTGGAGTAATTGAAAAAAAAATGTTATCAAAGTTTTTTTCTGTTAAATAGGTTATTCAGAGGCGTTTTGACGGAACAATCGATTTCAGCAGACCGTGGAACGAGTACAAAGAAGGATTTGGTTCAGTGCATTCTTCTTATTGGATAGGTAATTATATACATGTAATCCTTTCTTTTAATGTATCTCGACCCTTTGTATTTCACGTCATTTTGGATAATCTTTCATTTATTAAAATTTTTATATCAAAGTGGCATTAGTTTTGTAGATATGTTATTAAATATTTACTATAACTAACAACGTTAAGTTAAAGATACTACAAATAAAACTTCCATTAAATTCCTTATATCGGAGATTCCTTATATTCTTAAAAATGTGTATACATAATAAATATACATTTATTTTCTCTGAAATCCAAAATTAATTAATACCTATAGCAAACATCCAGTTAAAAATGCTAAATCTAAATTATCTTATTTGAACTTTTTTCAGCATTTTGATAATACACTTTCCCAAAAAAGTTTGCGATTTGACCATATACTTCTGTCCATTTCTTTATGCTTAGGCTGTAACCTACATAATTTTATGATTATTCCTCACATACTCTCCCAAAAAAGAAACACAACAACGAGGGGTTATCTGACGTTATCTAACTGGATTCTGACGCCCTGAATACAAATCGACATTAACTGTGCATCTTTCATCTGAATCCTTTTGGGTGTTTAAAACAAGTACTCTCTAGGTTCTATACCAGTTTTTCCAGGTGCGAAACTATATAGAATGTTGGAAAAAGAAACCCTTTCCCCTTTTTGACGTCAATTGTTTGGGCATTTAATTTAAAAATGTATTTATTACAGTTATAGTAACACGTGTGTCGATCGAACACGTGTTTATTTATCTATATTTATACCGGAAACAAATTTTCATTGCTTAGCTATTTTAGAAATGGAACCTGTTAAACAGGTTTATCCATTCTCACCAGTTTTACAAGTAAACCCTATTCGAAGGCTCTCACTTCGTGCAGTTTAGACATGGCACTCACCCACCCACACTCTCAGTACTTTATATGTATGCTCATATTATCTTTTTCTCGTTATTACAGAGAATGGACTTTACAGCAATTTGATTTACAGAAGAGTGTTTTTTGGGGGGGTATGATATTGAAAAATAAACAGTACCCTTGAGAGCGCTTCTGTACCTACACACTGTTTATTTATGGTATAAATTATTTATGTTCGGTTGAGTGTGAACGAATACGTTCTATTTCCATTAGTGAACTCTTCAAAATAAGAGGCGCGTTTGGTCGTCTGACTGGGACAGCATGGCGGTGCGGATAATGCAAAACATGCCAATCGCAATCCAATTTTAAATGTTAAATGTATTTGTCATTCCAATTAAAGAATAGAAGAACTAGAAGACATATATAAGAGAGCAAGAACCCTAAATTTATCATCCATTAGTAAAAAAAATACGACATTTCCGAGGCATGTGCATTGTATTTAGATGTACCATAAGATGAATAGATACATACGATCAACAATAGATATAAATTGTTGTCATTCCTAATCTTGATGTATATAAAGTCCACAACAATAAAATATATTTCATTTGCATTTTCAACATATTGTTTACATATTTATGTTACGTTTGTCCCAGAAATCCCGCGAGATTTGTACGTTTTCCGACTTTTTCACAAAAGAGCGCACTAAGAAGTATAACTCTTCCATAGTGGAAATAGAACGTATTAGAACATAATTTAAAGTAAAATTTAATATAACTTACAGAATGGGATAAAAATTACAAATTTAACGGGAAAAATTATGTCACACTACATACCAGAATGAACGGGGTTTTTCGATGACAAATGCTCATATCAAAAGAGTTTTTCTCAGTTACACTCAGGTAGAAGAAAACCGTATTTGAGGTTGCACCGCCTGGACATACCCTTGCTAGCAAAAAACATTAACAATTTATTTAAAAATTATGGTTTATTAAATAGATAGAAAGATGATGCTAACTAAATTAAATAGATAGAAAGATGACGCTAACTAAATAGATTAAAATCATTGATGTACCTAAAGCGGCTTTAATTTTATGGCGTTAGTCCACGAATTCTTTGATAACCCCTTGTATATTCAGTTTAAATCTATTTTATTACACTTTTATTACACTTAATATTTATGCAAAGGGTTTAACTTTATCATGGTGATAGTCTTTTTGTTCATTAAAATGATCATAAGCACAAATTACAAACAAATGTCTCATATGAATCATTATCTGTTGTGATCAACTTTAAGGTAGTCCGATCCTCAGGTTCTGAATATCAGACATTGGCTAATTGCAAATTCTCACAAAATGTCTCTGAATTCTCAGAGTAATGTGAATTTACCCAGGTATTTCTTCAAACTTCATCATTTAAGTAACTCATGTTATGTAGGGAAAAATAACAATTCTCAAATAAATTTTCATGAAATGCAAATAAAAACACTTCATATGCATTTTCTAATGAGCATGTATCAACAAATATATTTTACTTAAAAAAAATGGTACATGTATCCAGGCATTTGCAGAAAATCGTGTATTGTTATGCTAATGCAGTACCTTACTTCTTCTATTTACTTCAATTGTTATACGTGTATAATACATAGTGTAAAAAGTTTTTACTATCATTGTAAAACATCACGGATAACTTTTAATATCATATCTTGGTAATAAACATTGGTATCTAAAGCTAGATTAAAGGAAATATGATTTCTCTAAAAATGAATTTATTTCTGTACTTTAATGGGTTACAAATGTCAACTTTTTACAAAACCGTATCGTAGACTTCTAGGAACCTTGAATCGTACTGAGATGCATAAAATGAATATTATTGCATTAAAAATTTCAATTTCGAGCTTCAATATGAGGCTTCTTCTTAAAATAATAAAATTAAGAGTTATCCTTCAAAGCTGAGGAGTGGATATCTCAAGTTTGCTTGGAACTCAGCTCTGAGTTCTCTCCGCATTGATCAAATTAAACGCTGAATTCGAACCTGAGGAATTCTTTTTCATTCCTCCCGAAGTGCCTGCTGTAGTTGGAGAAGGGATTGCCGGGGGGTTGTCGCATGCGCACGCGCTTATCCAACTGGTCCAAAAAATGTTCAGTTTGATTCAAATCCGGGGAACTGGATGGCCATGGTAACACAGTGACATTGTGATTGTCAAAAAAGTCAACTGTAGCACTTGCAGTGTGCGGCCTGTTATCATTCTGAAAAATCTCCCTTCCAGTATTGAAGACTGGAAGAAGGTATTGTTAAAGAATTTTACCTCGATACCTCTGAGTTGTTAAGTTGCCTGGAATGTGAACCAACTTTTTTGGTTCTATGAATTTGCGACCCACACCATAACACTGTCGCCACGGAATTTGTCAATTTGTACTACACAACTACTTTCATAACGTTCATCATAAACTTGCATACGACCATCTCGATGCTGAAGTAAAAATTTGCATTCCTCGCTGAACCAAAGTCTTCGCCACTTTCTCAGGGCCTAGTTACTAACAGTGTTGCACCATCTGAGTCGTGCACGTCTATGCTCTCTTCTCAGTATAAGACCAAAGTCAGGTCGTCTGGCTCGCAGTCCAAACTCTAGCAGGCGATTGCGTATTGTCTGTGCTGATAGTCTGCGAAGACCAGGTTTGCGGGATACAGTCTCTCTTGCTGTAACTATCCTGCTGCGTATATGTAATATAAGAATGCAGCGATTCTGTTGTTCTGTTGTAATGCGTGGGCGACCAATTCGCTGCCTATCATTGTGGATCCAGGCTGTTGGTACCTGTCGAAGACGTAAATTGTACTCCTGTTGACATTATAATGTTGAGCAACTGCATACTGAGACTCCTTAGATTCAAGACGTCTTATAGCGATATTGCGCATAGCGACATCAATCTATGCATATCAATACGTCAACTGCAAGACACCAAGTTAAGGTATGTCACTCGTCAGCCTTTTAGAAAATTTCAGTCAGAACCTCTTACTTAAAATTATTTATTACAATTCAATCTTTATAATATATTTAAATTAAACAAAGTAAAATGTTCAACATTCAATTAAAAAACTGCTCAAAAATTCACAAAGAAGCAAGATTTATAAGGGACTATTTCTTGTGGCGGAAGGATATTTAGCAGAAAATTCTGCAAATCTACACATTTATTAAATTTAATATCTTGGAACTTTAGCCTCAAATACTTTTACTCAGAGAATATTTTCCGTTATGATACGCCTGGAATATTAGATATAGGTCTCAATTTATATTTGTATAACAAAATTTACACCTTCGCTCAACAAACATTGCCAAGAAATGAAGATATATATTACGGAAGTCGAGATAAAATTTACACAGTTTTTTTTTTTTTTTGCCTGAAAATCGCATAATTTGACCAATATTTCAAAATTTACATCACTGACCCAAACTTTTTCTTTCATTATTTTAAACTACTCGATACTTTTGACCGATCAGCAAATAAGTCGTAAAAAGTTTGATACAAGAAAATATTCTATTGCCTATTTAGATTTTTAATACCCAAAATATGAGACTTTTTTAGTGCAAAAAGGTCACACAATAATTTACGCGCATTAATTTGCATGATTTGTTCAATGATAAATATTATTCAAACTATTTTACGTAAAATAAGATTATGTTTATTGCCATGGTTACATCTCATAATATATGATAACGGTTAAAGTGATTGACCAAAGAGTTACAATTTAAGTGCAAAAAGGTCAACTTAATTGTACCGTAGCTCAGTTAGATGCACACTGACCCCCCATTTTCTCTGCGATTTTAAGTTATACTATATGAGTACTTATCCAAAATATACTTCTCAAAAAATCCTTGATATAACAAATTTCACGAGTGACATACCTTAACGGTTTTTTTTTCTTCAATTTTGCGATAATTTTATTGAACGCATACAATAAATGAGAAAAATTTGGGCGTGCAACTCGAGTCTTTATTTTTAAAGGTGGTCACCGAACATTGTTACTATTTTAAATATGGAACGGTAACAGTAGATCGCACACAAAATTTTTGCTATTTAAAGTATACCTATATCTCTATCGGAGGCAAAGTTTTTTTCCAATACAATTCATTTAATCTTCTCCAAAAAAATAATATTTCAAAAAGTATAACATGCGTTTTTTGTTTTTTGAGAGAGAGAGAGAGTATACAATACTTCTAATGATTATTCATGATACAAACATTTTAATTGAAATGTTGAAATTGATGATATTTTGTTATATTTTGATCCAATATATCATAAGCTATTTTATTATAGGAAATGACGTCATTCATCAATTAACCAAGAACAGACCGTCTCTGTACGTATCCATTACATTGACCAATGGAACCATTTTATATCAAAAGTACGAGACATTCTCTGTAAGCGATGAGACAGACAAATACAGACTTTACCTGGCTGGATCAACGGAAGGGACTTTAGGTGGGTCGTCGGTTTAATAATCTTGATGATTCTGAATTCCTTGAGTGGGTTGTTTATGCATTGGTGTGTTTCCTAGAGGTTAGTGGACCTCGGGGAAGATATTTTTAATTTTTGAACAGCATTTTGAAATCTTTATAAACCATGAGTCGGACGGACATTTCTTAGCTTGATTTTTCACTTGGACATTGACTATGCAGTGGGTTTATCTGTCAGCACAGTCGAAGCGACACTTCCTACCGTAGTCAATGTCAATTTATAGTCGAAAGAATTTAATTAAAATTTGTATTTAGATGTTATTATCTTAAGTTTCATTATGCAATGCAACTGCAGTGCACGAAAACGGTAATGAAATAGTCCATAACAAAGTAAATATAAAACACAAAATGATAAGGAGTCGAAGATCTTTATAAATAGGAGTCTTTTTTATCTATCTATAAATATATTTTTAAAAATGGTAAGGAGTCGTTTTATTATGTCATAACAGTGTAGACGGTTAATACAGGCCCGTAGGAAGCAATTTCACTTTGAGGGGGCACAACCATACATTTTCAGTTGAGGGGGCACTATCAACTACCAAAATTCCCTGACAAGTTATCAAACGTTATTATTGAGGGGGCACAAGCATATAGCAGCTGTTTTCTATAGTATTCTATATATCGGCAAAATTATTGGGGGGGGGGGACACGCCCCCCCCGGTTCCTACGGCCATGTAATACCGGTTTCTTTGAAATATTAGCATCATCAAGCCTAAGACGTTGTCCATCCATGTTAAAGTTAATTGTATATCAAACAGTCTAGCTCGTTTTCTTGACGTCATTTATGTTTATCGATCTAAAAGTACCGACGGCGTCATGTGATACATTGATTCAAATATAGGCATTACTTTCCTAGAAGGAGAGTAAATAATTATAAATTGACGTGTTTATAACGCGTTCTATTTCAATTGTGTAATTTAAAGCATTTCCCTTACTTTATTTGGTAAACTAAATAAATTTCCAACTTCATTTTTAACTGACAAGTGATAGCGTGTATATCGTTAAAATTCCGTATCTACGAGGGATGATCAAAAAGTTCGCGAACTATCGCTTTATTTAGAAAACCACAATTCAGATCAGAATGAAATTTGGCACATATAGTCATACACATGTTCTATAAATAACATGTTATGTAATATTTTGTTCCATGTTTGTGACGTCACAATTTGAGAATGACGTCAATATGTAGGTGACTTGTGACAAAAAATGATTGACTTAATCGTATTCGAGCAACGAACGGCTGTAAAGTTTAACGTGTTTCTTGGAAATTCCTTTGCAGTAGCATATAATAATTTGTACAATGTTTATGAAGACAAAAGACTTGCCAGAAAATCAATCATTTATTTGATTGATTTATTCAGTAAAGGAAGGAAGATGGTTAAAAATGATGTTTGTTTTTTTGCCCAGTGAAAGCAAGCTAGGGAAGAGATGTGTCCTTAGTCGCCAAGTTACAGTTAGAAAAATAGTTGAATATCTTAACAATAATATATTTATTAAATCCCTAAAATACCGTTTACTTTAGACTTTAATTTTAATTTATAACCTACCTATATGATGGATTTTTACTACAATTTCAATATATATATATATATATATATATATATATATATATATATATATATATATATATATATATATATATATGAAATTTTGAACTCTAAGAATGAAAGTTTATTTAACACTGGTATATATACTTCTGATAGGGATGTACTTCTGTATTCAGGAAAAAGACAACGAAAGATAAAAGAAATGTTATTGCTCTTTATCATATAGTTGTCTTGATTCTTTACAGGTGACAGCCTGCATCATCATAAGGGGATGTCTTTCAGTACTTCAGATTTAGACAACGACATGTGGAGTGCTAACTGTGCTGCGTACTACGGAGGAGGCTGGTGGTTTAACTCCTGTCACCATGCCTACCTCAACGGTCCCTGGTCTCCAGCAGTCTGGTCTAGACCTTGGTACCCTACAGTTGGTAATGGTAGAGAGATAAAGGAGACTCTCATAATGATAAAGCCTCACTAAGTATGTTGCACGATGTTTGTGACATGTAGTCCATATCACAATGCAGTCTTTCCAGATTTGTATATATTGCTTAAAGATTTTTTTTGAGATCGACCACTGTTTGTTATCGTCACCTTTTTCACTGACGACGATGAGAACATGGAAATAGCCTAACTAAATGTGTTAAGTGATATTAAAGACGTCTCCTTGATTCCCCCCTGTTACTGGTGGCCTCTCCTGCCAATAGTCTTTCTGTGTGAGTTGTTGTTTAGGTCGTGTCTGCGATATCCCATACTTACATGTACTTGAGACGGTGAGATAAAATACCTTAATGATGCTAAATTCTCACTAAGTGTGTTACATGATGTTTATGACGTGTCCTTGATATCGTACCGTTATTAGTGACACTGTTGTGTTACATGATGTTTATGACGCGTCCTTGATATCGTACCGTTATTAGTGACACTGTTGTGTTACATGATGTTTATGACGTGTCCTTGATATCGTACCGTTATTAGTGACACTGTTGTGTTACATGATGTTTATGACGTGTCCTTGATATCGTACCGTTATTAGTGACACTGTTGTGTTACATGATGTTTATGACGTGTCCTTGATATCGTACCGTTATTAGTGACACTGTTGTGTTACATGATGTTTATGACGTGTCCTTGATATCGTACCGTTATTAGTGACACTGTTGTGTTACATGATGTTTATGACGTGTCCTTGATATCGTACCGTTATTAGTGACGCTGTTGTGTTACATGATGTTTATGACGTGTCCTTGATATCGTACCGTTATTAGTGACGCTGTTGTGTTACATGATGTTTATGACGTGTCCTTGATACCGTACCGTTATTAGTGACGCTGTTGTGTTACATGATGTTTATGACGTGTCCTTGATACCGTACCGTTATTAGTGACACTGTTGTGTTACATGATGTTTATGACGCGTCCTTGATACCGTACCGTTATTAGTGACACTGTTGTGTTACATGATGTTTATGACGTGTCCTTGATACCGTACCGTTATTAGTGACACTGTTGTGTTACATGATGTTTATGACGTGTCCTTGATATCGTACCGTTATTAGTGACACTGTTGTGTTACATGATGTTTATGACGCGTCCTTGATACCGTACCGTTATTAGTGACACTGTTGTGTTACATGATGTTTATGACGCGTCCTTGATACCGTACCGTTATTAGTGACACTGTTGTGTTACATGATGTTTATGACGCGTCCTTGATATCGTACCGTTATTAGTGACACTGTTGTGTTACATGATGTTTATGACGCGTCCTTGATATCGTACCGTTATTAGTGACACTGTTGTGTTACATGATGTTTATGACGCGTCCTTGATATCGTACCGTTATTAGTGACACTGTTGTGTTACATGATGTTTATGACGCGTCCTTGATATCGTACCGTTATTAGTGACACTGTTGTGTTACATGATGTTTATGACGTGTCCTTGATATCGTACCGTTATTAGTGACACTGTTGTGTTACCTGATGTTTATGACGTGTCCTTGATATCGTACCGTTATTAGTGACACTGTTGTGTTACCTGATGTTTATGACGTGTCCTTGATATCGTACCGTTATTAGTGACGCTGTTGTGTTACATGATGTTTATGACGTGTCCTTGATATCGTACCGTTATTAGTGACACTGTTGTGTTACATGATGTTTATGACGTGTCCTTGATATCGTACCGTTATTAGTGACACTGTTGTGTTACATGATGTTTATGACGTGTCCTTGATATCGTACCGTTATTAGTGACACTGTTGTATAGAGGAGTCTCATGATGAAACCTACAAAGTGTCTTGTAGTTCTTTATTTTCCCATTTTTTTAATGATTGTGTTAATTACATACCAATTTTTCACATTGAAAAAAATTACAAAATAAAACAATTGACGTTTCTCTTTGAAAAACAAGGATATGCAATAAAAATATCTTACACAAATGTGTTGTTAGACAAACCTTATTAATTTAACGGTAAAGATGCTATTATGTGAAGATGATACGTGTATTAATCTTAAATGAATGATGTTATTGATCTTATTATTTAATGATGTTTTGAAATACATCTTTTTCATGATGTTATATATTTTATCTCATCATGTAGGATGTTTTTGATTTACTCTTATTACGTAATTAAGTTATTGATTTTTTCTTATTGAATAATGATGTTATGAAATTAATATCATAATGTAATGATTTTTATGCATCATTATTACAGTTATTATTACATTATTACAGTTAAATTGATGTTTCGACAAAAACTTTTCTGGATATTAATTCAAATGATTTTTGTTTGTATGTTGTTTAACGTCCCTCTCGAGGATTTTTCACTCATATGGAGACACCACCACTTGCCGGTGGAGAGCTGCAAATTTTGTCCTATGCTCGGCACTAACGGCCACTGCGCAGTGAGGGATATTTATCGTGCCAGCACGTACTGCGACACGGGACCTTGGTTTATACGATCTCATCCGAAGGACCGGTCTCCACGTCCCACAGTGGGATTGGAACCCGCGACGTATGAATCAACTCCTTAATTCAAATGCGACTTAATTCAAATGAAGTATAAATTAAAAATATTACACACAAGTTGAACATTCCGAAATGGGAGATAGAAATTCTTCAAAGGCTACACAATGTTAAATCCGATCAACTATGTTTGTCAACATATGAAAAAAATGTGGAGAAACCAAAGGTTCACTTCAAGGAGTTGCGGGGCATATATTTCAAATTAACAACTGCGGCCAGTAGCGTATCTACAAGCACTTTAATTAACTTGTCTTTCTGTTTTTAATGAAAGTAAGAATTCTAGAAAAGATTTATAATCATACTAAAAGTCCATCTATGGGTACATGTACACCTTTCCCAAAGCAACGAGAAGAAAACTGGATTCAGATTTCAAATGGTAGCTATAGCAATGTCGCAAGTGTTAGGAATTCAAGTCCACAGTGTAGCACTGTGAATGTGATCGAACTTTTTACAATGCAAAGAGGCGTAAGCTTAGTCAAGCACATCGGTCTTACAATAAACATTTTATTTGCATTTTTTGTGCTCGACAGTGATGAAGTGACTGAGTTATACCGCAGTGCGGTATTTATATTATAAATTCCAACACAAGATAAATGTATGTTAAAAAATAAAAGGTTAACAAATCATTTTTTGACTGTGTTCTCGGGCAAAATGCGTTTGGTAGACCTCTCGAACGAAACTGTTTGCCTTTAGCCTAACGGAATCAGGAAAGCAGTTGTTTCTTGGGTCCGACAAAACGCATGTTGCCCTCGAAGACAATCACTTAATATTTTCACATGTTTTTAAGAACTCAAGAATTCTCACTATAATCATTTCTTGTTGTACCAGAACGACAAAAAATTATGTTCTTCTCTCTTTAATCTTCAAATCAATTTAAATCTGAAAAAAAGAAAAGTATAAAGTGTATGATAAATTAGTTTAATTTGAATTTCTTCTTTTTTACATAGATCTTTCTTTTTGTATTCGTATGAAGTAGAATTTGTTCAAAATTTTATGCGTGAAAAAAGAAAACACTTGCCGTGGCCTTCAACCCGACATTTAGATATATCGACGACGTATTAATATTTGGATATTAATATAATATCAATTAACAATGGTTATTTCCATTCTTATGTCGATACGATATATCCCATCTTCGCTAGCCAAGGGTTTCTGATACGCTACTCTCCTCATAAGCCCTTGGCATGCGGTGTTAAAAAAAGTTGGGATTTTTTTCTCAAGTTGTGATTGGAGTTGATCGACATCATTCGACCAATCAGCAATTGTTTTTTGTAAATGACGATATTTGCGTTCGGGATATATCTTGACTCTTTCATATCGGGAATGAAAAACGCGAGTAAACAACGATCCGTAAGATAACATGCCATTCTATGAATAGCTATATGGTGTCATCCAATATCTTAAGCTACGTGCAAAATATGTCATTAAGAATCTATACTGAAGATGTAGATTTGCATTTTAACATGTTTAAATAACAAATTAACATAACTCAATACATTCTTGTTAATTATTCTTTAAAAACATTATTTTTTCAAATATGCTTTTTGTTTCTGTCGATGATGCAATCTGTGCGTACCTGGTAAGAAGCGTGATCACGTGACGAAAACAATCCCGTCTTTTGTCAGCACCGTATGCCAAGGGTTTATGAGGAGAGTAGCGTATCAGAAACCCTTGGCTAGCGAAGATGGATATATCCCAGTGAGTTTGAAATAAAAGATACAACATAGTCTGACACATCTGTTTCATATTTGGATATTTTACAAGAAAAAGGCGTTAATGGTTATCAAACAACCAAGTTTATGATAGACGTGATGACTTCAACTTTTCAATCGTCAACTTCCCTTATACAGTAAAATAACTTCATCACTTGCATACGGGGTTTATATCTCTAGTTGATTCGATATGCTGTAATGCAAGAGCATGCTCTACGTATGATGATTTCCAAAACGAGGTAAGTTATTGACAAACAAGTTGATGAAACAAGGATATCAGCAGACTCGTTTAAAATCGTCATTTCGTAAGTTGTAGGTCGATACAATGATCTTGTCAGCAAATACAATTTATCATTAATCAAATGCTGAATAACGTTTTCATACTAATTGTTAGGCCATTATTTACACAATGAATTGTCGACGGATTTTTCCGTTATTTTCCGATCATGACAAGGAGCACACGGCGGGTGTGACCGGTCGGCAGGGGATCCTCACTCTTCCATGGCACCTGATCCCACCTCTGATGTTTTAGAGGTCCGTGTTCGCTCTGCTCCGAAATTTGCATTGTTTAATGGACTTTTGAGCTTGAATACTGTTCGTTATCTCCATAAATTTCATTTCAGTGAACTAAAATACTTCATAATGCTTTATGATTTTAGGATTTCTCAAATACTGAATCTCAAATAGTGAAATATCAAGATATCATTTTAATGAACTACGATTTGTTTTCATAGTATAAT